GCTATCTCCCCAGCCCCTCATACATCCATTTGATCAATCTTGTGGTTTTCAGATTTTTATAAATATCCTGTTTATTTAATGAATATCCTAATTTTTGGTGCTAACTTAAAATTTTCCATCAGCTTAGTTTCTGTAGATGGTCAACTGGCTTTGGGCCAATAGAAGACAGATTGTGGAAGGAGGAGGATGGAGGAAGGCTGTTTTCCTCATGGCAGCTAGGAAGAGGGTGTCATTTTAATAAATAAGCCCATTTGGTTTTTGAACTCATCTGTAGGTTAATCCACTTAATGGTTTAGAGTCCTCACAATCCATTCACTTCCCAAAAGTAGCCACATCTTCAAAATGGGGAGCCTTTGGAGGGGTATTTTTAGTTCTAACCATAACAACATCATTTTGTTTTATATATATTTTTGAGGCTCTCAGCTTGCTGTATTATAGGGTCATGATTATACCTTCCTGGTAAGTTTATTATTCAGTAGTATGCTTATTTGAAGGATTACATGTAGTATACCATGAACGTGTATGTAGATAGGTAGACTTTTTGTTTTGAGACAGGGTCTTGCTATATAGTTCAGGCTGGCCTTGAACTCATTACGTAGCCCAGGTTGGCTTCCACTTCACAGTGATCCGCCTCCCTCAGCCTCTCAAGTGCTGGGATTTCCAGGTGTACACCGCCATACCAGCATAAATGTATAATTTTTGTGTGTCAGTTTTAAAAAAGAAATGTCCTACTTTTTTTCAGTTCAGTTTAAGAATCTTTAATACTCAGAAGTCTGTTTCTATTTATGGCATTGCCAAAAAAAGTGTTAAACATTAGAGTTTTCATATAGCTCAAAATATGAACTCTTACACTGTCTGGAGACAGTATAATGTGACACCTTCAATTGTCTGGAGACCTAGTTTTCCAGCTTAGTAAAGATTGATTATTATACTCCAACTTACTTCATTGATTCAGCAAATATTTGAGCAACTTTGTGCTAAATGTCAATGAAGAAACAAATTTTGGGTATAGCTATAAACTTATTATGGTTATAACTTAATCAAGTATAATGTTGGAAAGTGAAAAGAGCTGTTGTTCAAGCCTGGTAAGGTAAGGGGAATCAGGAATTTAAGTGGGAGAAGTGGAGTCACCTCCTCACTGAGAATGTGATGTTTGAGTGAAATAAGCCATTTGGATGTCCAGTAGAGCCGGTGCAGAACCACTGAAATGCTTGGGCGCAAGGTGGTGTGCTGGGACTGGCAGAGCAGGGTGAGATGAGAGATGGAACCTTGATTTCATAACAATGTTGGTTAAAAGTGAGCTGATGGAGTATTCAGGGATGGAATCTAAATTTCCAGTTTGAAAAGGATCACTGATTGCTGTGTTGATTGGAATATTTTCTTTTTAATTAGATAAAAAGGAATTTTAATAGCATGTTATCTGATCTTTATTTGTTCACATGTTAGGTTTGTTTAACAATCATTTAGCCCCCCGCCCCCACCCCCGCCCAGTGTAGTGTTTCCTCTCTGGATCAACCAAGGTATAACCAAGTGAATGACAAGGTGGTTGCAAAGGATCTGAAGCATATAAAATTCAATTTCCTGCATGTGACAGCTTATTTGTAGATGCCCATCATAGAAACTTTTGTCTTATTTTAATAATCAACACAAGCAGTTGCCATTGAGATCTGAAAATTATTCCGTGTCAGTTTTCAACAGTTAACTGTTTTTCACTTACAGCTGTTTCTGTAAGTGAAATTAGTTTCTCAAGAGAGCTTTAAATGTTTATGTATATATAACATAAAATAGACTAATATACTAATATATACTCATCTACTCTGAGTCCATTTTGGTTAAGATTATTTATTTATTTAGGTACTAGTAATCATAAAGCTTGTCTCTCAGGTGCTTGTGTTGCTAGGCTATATCACCAGCAAGATTTTTCAAGACTGGGTCTCACTATGTAATGCAGGCTTGCCTTGAGCGCAGTATGAAGCCCAGATGGCCTTTAACTCTGTGAAGCTTAGGCTGCCCTCAAAGGCAAGGAGATCCTCCTGCCCTAGCCTCCTCAGTGCTGATACTGGAGGCAAATGCCCTTGTAACCGGCTTTGTACTTAGGAATGTTTTGATGAGTCCTCAGTTAAGATAAAAGGTAAATTAGTTAATTTGGTTTCTTTGAAAAATTAGTGCAGTGCTTTTAAGAGAGAGATGGGGGGAGGCAGATAGCTCAGTGGACTAAAGCGCCTGGTTAGGCAGGCTTAGGGACTGTGTTTGATTCCCAGTGGTGCTGGCTCTGCCCCAGGGGCATGCTGAGCTGGTGATTCAGACTGGGCTTGGTGGCACATGCCTGTGATTCCAGTGCTTGGGAGGCTGAAAACAGGAGGATCACTACAAGTCAGATCTGTATAGTGAGACCCTGTAGACCCTATACTAAATACATTAAAAAAAAAAGAAAAAGAAATATGGGGGAAAGGAAATATAAGTAATATACTATCTCTTTCAAAGTGCCTTTTGCATTTCATTTGTTTAGACATTTTGTTTTTGAATTGAATTGGTGGGGCTAATTGGCCCATACCTGTAATCCCAGCATTCCCAGTACTGGCTGAAGTAAGGAGGAGTTTGAGGCCAGCCATGGCTATACAGTAAAACCCAGTCTCAAAAACAAAACAAAGAAAAAGCCGTTGAAATGGGCTGTCAGTGAAAGGTCTGCAAGGAAAAAATAAAAGTAAGCAGAAGAAAGCAGTAGGTTGGTTGTTGGCTATTAGAGCTGGTACAATATTTAATCTTGTTGCTATCATTTTTTGTAGAAGAGCAAACACAGGAAAGTTAGCAGGAAATAGATATATAGCTCAGGGAATTGTGTTGAAAAAAGAAAAGAAAAGAACCCTCCAAGGGCCGGCCACATAGCTCAGCAGATTAAGCACCTGCTTAGGCAGATGTAGGGGCCTGGAGTTTGAGCCCTGGGCCTGCCCTGCTGGCCCCGCCCCGGGGTGAGGTGAGAAGGCAAATGAAACTGAGTGTGGTGGAGCACGCCTGTAATCTCAGCACTTGGGAGGCTATGAACAGTAGAATCACTTATGAGTCCGATGTACACAGTGAGACCCTGTAGACCCTGTCCTAAATACTCTCCCCCCCAAAAAAAAAAGAAAAGAAAAGAAAAGATATCCTTCATACATTAAAGGTGAGAATGTAAAATGGTTTCTTCCACTTTGGAAAATTTTGGTCCCATGACTTGGTATATTCATAGAGATATACCTAAGAAAACTGAGGTCATGTCTATGCAAAAACATGAATATATTCATAGATTAGCTGGAAAAGGGAAACAGCCCAAATTTTCATCAGCTAAGCAATGGTACAGAATTATGCCTGTACAACAGTGTGAAGCCTTAAAAAGGCACGAAATCCTACATGATGTAACATAGATGGAGCTTGAAAATGTGAAACAGGCCTATTATATCTGTTATATCACCACATTGTGTGATGTCCTTTGTGTTCATATGTAGACTAGGCAGATCAATAAAGACAGAGATCAGTTGCCAAGGTCTGTGAGAAGGGGCAGTAGGGATAGTGAGTGTTATTAGATATGGGATTTCTTCTTGAGGGGAAAAATGTTCTAGAATTAGATATTGGTAATGGCTGCATAAGTCTGAATATACTAGTAACCCTCAAATTATGCAGTTTTAAAGGGTGACTTTGATGACATGCTAGATATATCTCTGTAAAGTTGTTAAACAGCAACAAAAGCTAGCCAAATTCATCCATGTGTTTCAACCATAAAGTTAACAGAACATAACAACCCTGCATGTTTGCTAACTATACTGCTTTCCAGTCAGTGCTACAAATTATTTCTGGGAGGAAAAGTAGCAGCTGTTTCTACTGCTACTTGCTTTTCAGAAGCCATTGTTTTAGTCTAGAAATAAAGCTTTATTATCTCAGCGCTAGCCAGGCCTTGCAGGAATTTTTATAAAGCACCATTTTAATCAGGTAATGCTTTATAATTCCACAGTGTCAATGTGGCGTACCTTTGGCACCAGTAATAGTACATGTCTATCAAAATAATATATAGGCATTTTTGAATTGCTGCTATTGCTGTTGCTTAAAATAAATGATCTGGATATATATTATGTGTGTGCGTATATTTTTTTTGTTTTCCCTTATTTTTCTGGTTCTAGCCTGTACTACCCTGCCTGGCTAGGAGCCTGTCATTAAAAAATAATTGTTAAAAATTCTTTATCAGTATTGAGGATTAAATCAGAGCATGTGAAGTAAATTCCCTTAGCCGCTGAGCTATAGTACATACCTTTTTAATTTTCTCCCTGAGTTGTTTAGGCTGGCTTTATATTTACAGTCCTCCTTCCTTAGCCTTTCAAGTAGCTGGGATCACTATCATGTCTAACCTTAAAATAATTTTTTTAAAGCTACCTTATATATCATCCTGATCTGTTATCCTTGGCAATAGGGAACACTTTATTAACTATTATTATTTATTTTTCTTTCCTTTTCTGGAGATTGAACCCAAGGCTTTGAGCATGCAAGGCAGGTATTCTGCCACTAAACTATATACCCTCAGCCCCAGCTACTTCTTAGTTTATCTTCCTGATCCTAAACCTGTACCCATTTTTTTTTAATGGAACCAGGGATTGAACTCAGGCCCTTACGCTTGCCAGGGAAGTGCCTATTCCACTGAGCCATCTCCCTGGCTCTGTACCCATATTAAAGAGTTGTTAATACTTTTTTTTATTTTAGGGAAGGGTCTACAGGGTGTTCAGGGTCTCAGTACTACTAGATCAGACTCGTGATCCGCTTGTTTACAGCCTCCCAAGAGCTGGGATTACAGGCATGCACCACCATGCCCAGTCTCAATACTGTCTTTTAAGTGACTCACATTAGCTTTAATGTCTCTTGTAATGTGCATGTCTTTTCTGATTTTAAATTTTAAAAGAAACTACCCCTAAATTTTTCTATGCTTTTTAAGTATTTCAAACTCAGAGTAAGGCCAGTTTTGATTTTTTGCTTTTCAGTGATGTATTGGCATTGCCCATTTTCAAGCAGGAAGACTCCAGCCTTCCACTGGATGGTGAAACAAAACACCCTCCATTTCAGTATGTGATGTGTGCTGCAACCTCGCCGGCAGTCAAGCTGCATGATGAGACACTCACTTACCTGAACCAAGGTGAGTATGGCTAGCTCATACATTGACGTGTAAAAGCTTACCAAAATCTATCAAAATAAATGTTTTGGCATTGTAGTCCAGGTTGCAGGTAATAATTAAAAATTAGGGCAAGACATGATGGCACATGCCTATGATTGCAGCACCCAGGAGGGTGAGGCAAGAGGATGGTTGTGAGTTCAAGGCCAGTCCAAACTACAAAGTGAGACCTTGTTTCAAAAACCCCAAAACATAAAACAAACGAAAACAAAAATATTAGGTTCTTAAATTTTATGATTTTAGCTTAAAATTGCAGAGATTTTTTACTTTGGCCTACTAGAGTAGTAGTTTATAAAAACTGATGTGCATTGAAGAGGGTCTGTGGAATAAGATTTATTATAGGGATTTTCTGATACCATCCAAAGGAGGAATAAGTAGGAAAGGGTATCAGTTATTTTTAGGGATGGAAGTTAAAGGACTTAGGAATGAATTAGAAGTTCAGCTAGCCACTTCATTCTTGGATATGAAGTGAGTTTGTGCTGACAACAGACTTAAGTTGCGCCAATATGGAGTCAGTGGTAAAGTAAATCATGTAAAATTCTACCTGCTCATATCTTGTCTAGAATTTACCTTAGGAAATTATAGGGATTTTTGTTTTGTTTTGAGGCAGTGTGGACACAGGGCCAACTCATCACTATAAGAAAAAGTTCTTTGTTTTGTGCAGGATTAATTTATTGGATACAGATACTGCAAGCATGTTGAAATCTGTGTGTGTGTGTGTGTGTGTGTGTGAAGTTTTGCATTTGTTAAAAGTAGGAGAGGAAACCTGCTCTGTAGTGTAAATGGGCCAGTTAAAAGCAGGAAGGGAAGTGTACCCTGCAGGGTGACAGCAAATCACCATGCAAGAAAGAAGAGTAACCATGAGGTTAATTGCAGTCATCGTTTGTATCTCTTCACTTCTCAGGCTGACATCAGTTCTAGCTCGTCCCATCAAAAACCTGGTTTGAGTTCTTGGGAGAAGAACTGAAGATAGTGATTGGTCTGAGGAGCTAGGCTTTGAGAACTATTTTGCACTTGTATCCTGGAATTCTGTTACTGACAAGTTATACCCATTTGCCCAGCCAGTTTGCCATGCCTCAATTTCCTCCCTCATTTAACCCTGCAGAAGTAAATTCCCATAGTTCTTTATGGGGTTTGGAAGGTGTGTAGGTGGTAGAGCTATTTTTTACTGAAAGGGGCTGTGGGCCCTACCAGCTGGTGATTATGTTCTAACTACCTTAGGATATTGTGGCTTACCAGCTGGGTTGAAAAGAAAACCTGTCAGAGGACAATGCGTAAAGAGTTGGTATGTATATGTGAAGAACTTTTGAGCTGCTTGTTCACTGGGAGAAAACTTAGTAAATTTATCTGGCGAATAACTTTACTATTAGGTTGGGTGTGGAGAGAAATATGAGAAGGAGCAGATTAGATTTTCACTTTTCCTGTGGAGGCAAAAAGGGATATTAGGTAGGCTACCAATGCACCTTACACTGACTGTGTGTATCTGTTCTCCAAATAGAAGTGAAGTCTTGATTTTTGAGAAAGAGCCTTAGGTCTTTGAGAGGTTCACAGGAGTGGCCTAGTACTGTGAAAATTTGAGCGACCATTTTTCCTGTAGAGTTTTTATCTTTCCACTATGTTCTTTGAGGAAGGGCCTGTTCCTTAGGGATTAGGAATAAGACTATAGAGTCTTGAGGGGCTATAAGGATGACCTTTTTATCTGTCTCTCAGCCTTTTGATTTCCCAAGGATCCTCTATTTTTTAAAAAATTAATTTTATTGACAAAAAAATAGTAATGAGATAGTTTCAAAACAGGTTAGTAGGACTGTTACAATAATTAATACATTGCATATTGGTGTCTTCGTAGTAATTATTCAGAGTACAAGATGCAGACATGATATTTTGTCTAAACACTATTAGTACAAATCTTTCTTGTCATTGAACTAAGTGAAAGTAGCTGTATATCTATCCTAAAAAGTGAATTTTGTTTGTTTGCTTTTTTTTGGTGTACCAGGGATTGAACTCAGGACCTTGTGCTTGACAGGCAGGTGCTTATGCCGCTGAGCTATATCCCCAGCCCGCCAAGGATCCTCTAGACATAACTTTGCAATGAATGACAACAACTTGCTTGGGAAAGTAGACTGCCTTGAGGAGCTGTACAATTTCCTACTTGTGTTTTACAGATGTTGCTTATTAGTCAGCAAACTCCTTTTCAGATTGCTACATGGTCATGTAGCAACCAGAAAGATGTATATTCCTAATATTAGTGCCCTATTAAGGTCTACAAGCTTTGTTTTTAAGTAAAGGTCCATCCCTGGGGAAGGGGGTTTGGTTTTAATGGCCTATTATGAGCTGACAGTGTGTAACCTGCATTTGGACCAAACTGTTTGCATCAGTGGGTCATACCTTGTCAGGGTCTTGGAGGGGCAGGTCACTGAGGTCCTGCCTGCATGCATAGGTCTTGACAAATCACCAGTTCACAAGAGCAGATAACCTCTGAGCCTATAGATATAAGTGTGGCAGGATTTAAGAGTAGTGCAGGCATTTAGGGTAATCTCAAGGATACTAAAACAGGGTAATTAAATTTGCTTACTCACAAGATTGAGGCAGGAGGATTGTTGTGAGTCCCAGACCAACCTGGGCTACAAAGGGAGCTCAAAGCCAGCCTACACTGAATAGCAAGACCCTGTCTCAGAAAGACAAAAAAAGAAAAAAGAAAGAAAGCTTAACCCTACTTGAACTTCTCGCAGGAGATGAAGATGTCCATGGAAAAGAGTATTGCAAATTGACCCAGGTGGCTTCAGTCCTCTCTTATTAGAGCAGGAGGTCATAGTTTTTTTGACTGACATACCTCTAGAGAAACAGCGACAATCTTCCAGTGCCATGAGTCAGGCAGATTGCCAGCTTGACACACAGAGCAGGGCCTGGGTGATGATGGCTTGGTACAGTTACATGTCTAATGTCCCTGAGTTTTCTCTTGGATGATTTAGATGGCTTTAAAGTATTAGTAATTGTGACAAACATAATTTGGTTTGTCTTTTTTGTGTACCCCTTCCCCTTTTGAGCTTGTCTAGATGCTGGTTGTTGAACATGGGAAAGCCCATGGCCAATAGTTGGGTCTCAAGGTTGTGGATGTCTACCTGCAAAGCTACCAGAAATTTTTTTTAAAAAATATGTATTTTAATGAAGGAATCTTCTCACCAACTTTACATTTCTTTTGAGACAGAGTATCACTATGTAGTGTAAGCTGGCGTCAAACTCAAAGCAATCCTCCTGCCTCGGCCTCGTATTTGCTGGGATCACAGGCATGCACCACCATGCCTAGCTTCCCAACAACTTTAAGAATAATTTGCATTTTTTAAATTATGAAGCTCTGTGGCATCAGAACTTGTTTCCGGCTCCACAGGTTTTTTTTTCATTCAGGGTCTTACTTTGTTATTAGGCTGGTCTTGAACTGTGTAGCCTGGGTCTGTGCTTGAACTTGCAAGGATCCTTCTGCCTCAGCTCCCCGAGTGGTGCACCTCCTGGTGTCCACAGGCTTCAGATGCCGCTGCACTACTGGCTCCCCGGTACTCTTGAGGCACGTGGTAGCCATTTTCTCTTCTGTGGGAAGTCCTTGCGGCAGCTTCAGGGGCTGGATTCTTAAGAGATGCTTGACCACTTTCAGTTTTGCACTTACTGAAGGGATGTTCTTATGAACTTGAGGAGTGTGTACTTTTTCTAATCGAAGCATCTTGATTACATCTTTTTCCCAATGCAGTCATCTTATCATACTTTTTATTCCGGTAACAACATGCAGTTTATGAGGGTGCTAAGAGTTCCTAC